GACACTGCTAGTCAGTATCATCATATAAATTAGAATCTCGATTCTTGAATTGGAATATTTTTCAATTTTGAGAGTAAATTAGAAACAAAATCTGTTTGGTGTTAAATAATTCAAAAAACTCATTCAAGTACATTACACTATCAAACGCAAATCATAGACTATTCTTAACAAAATAATAAATTATCAGACAGCCAACAAAATATTCAACAAACTACTGCTGCCTACACCGTGGGTTCAACCATTTCTGGCTTTGGTGAAATAACAACAGTATTTAGACATTAAAGGCAAAAAGTCATCATACATAAACACTGACAATTCGGCAATGTACATAATTTTCGAGTTTTTTGGGAATGAATTAACACAGTAACAACTAACAACCTAATCGATTATTTATCTGAGCAAAAAAACCTACTACGTAGACTAATTACAATATTATCGACTTTCTTTTCACAAAATAATAATAATCAGACAGCCAACATAATATTCAACAAACCACTGCTGCCTACACCATGGGTTCAACCATTTCTGGCTTTGGAGAAATAACAGCAGTATTCAGACATTGAAGGCGACAAGTCATCATACATAAATACTGATAATTCGGTAGGTAATTTGCTTAATTCTCAAGTTTTTTGGGGATGAATTGGAGACAGCAACAACCTAATCGATTATTCATCTGGCCAAAAAAACCTACTACGTAGACTAATTACAATATTATCGACTTTCTCCTCCCACAATAATAAATAATCAGACAGCCAACAGAATATTCAACCAACTACTGCTGCCTACACCATGGGTTCAACCATTTCTGGCTTTGGAGAAATAACAACAGTATTCAGACATTGAAGACAAAAAATCATCACGTCATACATAAATACTGATAATTCGGTAATCTAAATAAAAATTCGAACTTTTTGGGAATGAATTAGACACAGTAACAACCTAATCGATTAATCATCTGAGCAAAAAAACCTACTATGTAGACTATTACAATAATATCGACTTTCTTTTCACACAATAATGATTAATCAGACAGCCAACAAAATATTTAACAACTACTGCTGCCTACACCAGTGGGTTCAACCATTTCTGGCTTCGGTGAAATAACAACAGCATTTAGACACTGAAGGCTACAATCATCACACACAAATCTGAGGAAGGGAAAAAATACTACGATTGACTTAGATAAGAAGTGCATATTGGTGTGTCAATTGGAAACAAATCTGATTCGATTTTCAGCTAGTGATGCTGAAATTACAACATCGATATTCAATCAAAAAATCCAAAATGTAGACAGATATTGATACCTCTTTTAAATATTAGGGTCCTCTATGGATGCTAAAATCACGATATCGATGTTAGAAAAATGATCGAAATATTTCGATATCGATGCACAATGCAACACTAGTTTCAGCAATTGATCCAATAATTTAGAACATAGGATACCACTGGTATTTGCTTGGTGTCATGGAGTTGAATCACAGTGATAATTTTTTTTTTAATTACTAGTTCTGCTGTAACCCAGAAACCATCACTCAGCATAGAATCAAGATTTGGAACAATTTTTCTCAAAATTATTCTAATTATTTCCCCTATACATGGTATCAATAACTTGAAATAAAATCACCTCACATATTCATTTTGTTGTCGAATTTGGGCCCAACAATTCTTGTATGTTTCATCAGTGGAGGGATGAGGCGTTGTGGAGGGCGTTGTGGGTTTTTTGAACTAAAATTATCGAAATTATTTTTATACATCAGTCAGAGAACACAAAGTGTCTGACTAATTATCTGCTGGCGCGAGTTTAGAGTAAAACATTTGAAGTAAATAACCTATTGGTCACATTCGAGTGCACATGAGAGATGAAATAATATCGTTAGTTCATTCTGATATCAGACAGCCAACAAAATTTTCAACAAACTACTGCTGCCTACACCAATGGGTTCAGCCATTTCTGACTTTGGTGAAATAACAGCAGAATTAAGACGATGTTGGCAACAATCATCATAAAATTCATAATTATTATGGACATCAATAAAGAAGCTGATTTCATTCAGTCAAACCTATTAATGGCGGCAATGCAAGCTTCAGAAGCCATAAAATTGGATAAATTGAAATTTAAAATAAAATCGAATTCAAACTGACCAAAAAAATTAATTCAAAGTCTGTCAAATTTAATATGGATTTCAAGCCATCTCCTATTCGAAATTCAACGTTGTAAATCAGACAGCCAACGAACACTCAACCAACATTACTGCCTACACCAGTGGGTTCAGCCATTTCTGGCTTTGGTGAAATAACAGTAATATTTAGACTCTGTTGGCTTTATATCATCATTCATTATGTATAACATTCCCAACTTCTAGAATTATAATTTCAGCACACAACTTACTCGAACTGGCAGTCGACTGCAAAACCCATTCCAATCCATCAACAAAAGATCCTTTAGATTGCGAATGTGTTCGAAAAAATTTATAATCGTCTACAATGCTGCTCTAAATAACTCACAATAACTGCATCACGTTTCTCGATCAAATTACGGAGTACTTGTTCCACTATGGGACCTGCAAGGGTGACTTCGAAACTTTCATCTAGATCCTTTGACGGATGCTTCCTAAGTAGACATCAAAAACATCTGAAGTTCAACTTTGACTCTCTTTAGGAAGTGATTTAATGTCATGAAAAGCGAAAACTTACATGGATATTGGGTCTCGTTATTGTTAACGCAGAGCTGATCGCCAAATGCTCTGATGAGGTAAGGCACACCGAAATACGACCAGTGTAATCGTAACTGGGCTGGAAAATTGGCGACAAATCCTGATGAACACTTTTCTCTAAAATTTTGGAGGTCTGAACTTTTTCAGAATGAGTTCTTCGTCTCAACTGATCGATGAAGTGCTCCAACAGCTTACCTGTGTCAAAATACAATATCTAAGTACTCCATTCAATCACTACTTCGGTTCATTTTGTTCAATTTTACCTTCTTTCAAAATCTCCGTTTTCAGTTCTCGTGTTTTATTCAGCTTGCACAGAAAATCGATGCTTTGGTAGCAGTTAAACAGTTTCTCAGATAGATGATGAAATAATGGTGACACGGTTGTGCCTCCGTGAAACTGTCCTTCAGGAAACGGGAAGGCTGTGTACTTTCCATCGCTTCTGACCTGAATAAAAATATTGTCACAAAAGCACAACGATTTTCTCCAAAAAATATAAGTTTGAAACTTACTTTTGAATGAAAAATTCATTTTCCAGTCATTCAACTTTCCTTCGGTCAGCCAAACGTCGATAATTTCAGCGTAGATTTTGAACGTTTTAAAGAATATGCCGAGGAGAATTTGCCGCCATGGTTTCGACGAAATTTCTTGGTACTTGGAGAGTAGTACCGACAATAAGCTACAAAACTAGGTGTTAGATTTGAGCATTTCGTGGGAATAACTCACAAATGCATTATACGTAATTGCAAACTTACCGAACGGCGCAAATCCACGGTATTTCTTCCATCCAATTTTCTACACCACATTCGTTATGGACATTGAATATGAACTTGATCATCCGAAGATCGTCTCCCAAATCATTGTACAGTGTCAACAACGTATAAGTTGAATCTGCGAACCAAAAGGATCATGAATTCCTAATAGAAATAGTTCGATATTTCATGTGCAACTAGTGATGCCAATTTCTGATAAATTAATCGATTTTTCATTCGGATCGAGCATAAAATCAACATTTTTATGATTAATTTCCGATGATCAATTGAATTGATCATTTCAAATGACTTTTTGATAAGATTGAAAAATTGGAGAAAATTGATGAACACACAGCACAGAAATACAAAACAAGGCATAAAAACTAGAAAAGAGCTGAAAATTGATCAAACAATCGATTTTAGGATCAATTCTCTGAAGATTGGTTCAATATTGATAATTTCAAATGACTTTTAGAAAAATTTACAACCCAAAAAAATTTGATTACTGAAACACACTGCGCAAAAATACAAAAAAAGCATAAAATGATAAAAACAAGAATAGTTTTGAAAAATTGATCAGAAATCGATTTTATGATCAAATTTCTGATGATTGGTTCAATACTGATCATTGTAAATGACTTTTGAAGAATTTAAAACCCAGAAAAATTGATTGTTGAAACACCCTGCACAGAAATACCAAAAAAGGGCATAAAAATAAGAAAAGCTGAAAAATTGATCAAAAAATCATTTCATGATCGATTTTCTGATGAGTGGTCCAATATTGATAAATTCAAATGGCCTTCGAAAATCAAAAACCCAGAAAAAAATTGATCGTTTAAAACACGCTGAACAAAAATATAAAAAGCACAGAAACAAGAAGAATGGTAAAAACCCATCAAAAATTTAATTCATGATTAAATTTTCTGATTATTGGTTCAATGGATCGTTTCAAATAGCCTTAGGAAGTTTTCTGTTGAAACAAGCTTCACAGAATTACAAAATGAGCTTTAAACGAAAACAAGTTCTGAAAAATTGATCAAAAATAGATAACTGGACAAAAATTGATAGGTTAGGTTCTGCTTTTTGAAACCAATTTGACATAAAATCAATTTTTTACAAATCGATTGAAATCGATCAAAATTTATTTTCAAATTTCTAAAAATTGGCACCACTTATAATGAAAGAAAAGAATGTTTGAATCATTTTTCGAATACTTATTTGTAAATTACAAATGGGCGAGTGCAATAATAACATGACCGTGGTTCAGTCTTGCCTTCAACGCACACATCAAACTCTATAAGTTTTTGTACAGCGATATAGAATTTCTACTTCAAGATTAATAACAACCTCCAGAGATAGCCATACGAGTATAGTATCAGTGACTAATA